AAACCCCAAAACCCCAAAACCCCAAAACCCCTCTGCCTACTTTTGAATAAAATCGATTGAAACTATAAATAAATGATCTTATCTAGGAATATAAGTTTAAATGTAGGGCTTATACGATTCAAATTGAGAATCATTAATCATTTGAGGTTTCCCGACGTTATCTTAGGTGCACTCTCTCCATTTGCGGGACTGGTCATGCCTTTTTGCTGTTGGAAGTACTACTCGTTTCTCTCTATCTTAATCTTGACTAGATCAAGAATATCTTTAACATCGTTTAGGTTAGTTCTTTGGTTCATCAGTTTGTCCTTGACGTTTTGCACTCTTTCTCTGTTTTTATCATCGAAGTACTCGAAAGCATTAACAATATCAAGATTTTGATAGGCGATAAGAGATTCCTGGAAAATTCTAAAGTTAAAGAGATCAGTTTGCTTGAGTGAGTTTCTCATGACTTTGTTAGGCAGAGCTTTAAGCATGAGCATGATATCAAGATGTTCATTCATAGAGCTTTCAGAGACAATAGTGAACTTAGTTAGGAATTCATCTACGAGTTAAATTTCGGATTCTTCTATTGCGAAATCACTCATATCGACATCATCTCCATCGTTCTAGTTGACTGCACTATTCTTAAGTCTGTCCAAGAAGACAACTCTGAGATGATTGGTAAGATCCTTTGGTCTGTTCTACTGATTCGCCTTCATATTTTGCGAGCCTCTAAGTCCTCCCCAAAGAGAGTCCTTTTCATTTGGAAGAGCACCTTGTTTGCTGTTCTTAACATTCAAGCCTGATGCTTACCTTTAGAGTTGCTTTCTGAAACTCACAGCCATGAGGTTACCAAGCGCACTTGACTTGTTTCCAGCTAACTTCTCTTGAATTTTCTTTTGCTTGACACTGTTTGTTCTTCTCTTTTTCCACTCATCTATAATGAGGGATTTCTTGACAACGTAGAGGAAGTCTTCATTCATGTTCTCATCATCCTTGATTGGGAAAATGTCATCATCAAAGTCCATGTCTTCGTCATTATCATCAATCTACTCTTGTCTCATGTGCTTTTGAAGTCTTTAATACAATGAGATGACTGTTGCTCTGGTTTCATTGTATACTTTGATCTTATTGTCCTCAATGTTTAGATCTTCAACAGCTTGAGCAGAGGCCTTCTTACATCCGTTATGATATGAAAGGATTATTAAGAGATTAAGCACATCTCTGAACAGTAGGAATATCATCATGAATATTCCAATGAGAAGCCACACCAAGCAGTTAACAATAGTATTCAGAACACCCATTGAATTCTTGATGATGTTTATCCACACCTTGATGTATGCGATTGGCAGGATTGCTAATTCAAACCCAGCAAATGCCATTACAAAGAAGATATTTTCAAGCCAGTACATCATATATGAAAACCCTTTACTGATATACATCATCGCCTTTCTGCTAACCAGGAATGGAATCATCATAGCACTGAGGTAACTAACTGGAGGGGGATGTAGGACGATCTCACCATAGTCTCTATCAGCGAATGCTATCATAAATCTCTCGCAATACTTGTAAAGGTTGACTTTGTATCTGAAGATACCTGATTGCTTCATGTTTTCATAAGTTGTTGACAAAATAGCGATCAGGTAATTCATCAGCAAAATGTTAGAGAAAAATACGTGGCCGATCAATAATATAGAGTGAGATAGCTCTCTTCCCTCCATATTTTCGTAGTCATATTGACCGATAGCTGCATCGAATAGAGTTCTTACAGTCAAAGCGAGACCTCCATACTTTTCAGGATTGGTGTCTTGATACAATGTAGTGAAAACTGAAGCCATAATAAGGATAAAGCAGCACACGATGAACATGAAACTCAATGTATCGCCAATCATAGCCAAAAGTGTGAGCAAAAGCTTTGAAATAGACCTCACGACCAAGAAGTACACGAAAAATCTGAGCCAGCAGACGCAGAGCACAAGAATCATAAAGTAGTCAATGAGATCTTTCATCTTTGGCTTGAGATAGGTCTCAGGAGGTACTCTCTGAATGACTTGGACAGCAGCAATGTTAAGAATAGCACTTAAACTATCCATAATTGTCCACTTATCAACTCCAATCCTTTGCCTAGCGCAAATGTTAAATAAAACTATTAGAAGGCGTTAGATAAAGTTATATTCTTACTTTTAAGGATCATTTGGAATATAAGGGCGCAGGAAAAGAACAGGGCGAAGAAGTTCCAGTCCACATACTCTCTGACACTTCTGATAATCCTATTGATACTTGTTTCTGTTGTTGGTGTAGCAGAGTCAGCTGTATCATCACTGTTAATGTAGTTGTTGGAAAAGAGAATGAGATATTGATAATTGATGTATTAGAAGATAACAAGCATTGCAAGAGCACAGAAAAATTCTTTATAGAAGTAGAAGCTGATAGCCTGAGACCTATAAGTATACTAGAAACTGTAGTCAACTTTGAAGTTGGCATTGTAGCTGTTAGTTATCATGCTCATTAGAGTCTAGTTCTTGCCAGATTACTTCTTAGCTCTAGTCATGATAATATGACTAAGATTTGAGTAACCAAAAATGTTACCATCGCACTTAGTAGCATCATTACCATGCCAGATCATAACCATCAAGTTTTCGGCCTTTGGATCCTCTTCATCCATGAGTGGTTCAAATGTGTTTTGAGTGATAGTCTTTAGTACAGTTCTACCTCTGAAGTCGACTCCCATAATCAAGCTCTCATAATATTTCTCATCCTCAATCTTAGATGAATACATTTTTCCGAGTTCTAGCAATTGATTTTGAATCTTATTACACTCGTTTTCGAACTTCCTTCTTGAATTGGCAACCTTTTTCAAAAGTTCAGCAGCTAGGGTGATACTTTACAGTGGATTAGGTGAAAGCAGCAGCCTGTTTTTATCGTAGTTTTCCTCGACGTAGTCACTGATGATTTCTACAAGCTCCTTCAAGTGCTTGTTCTTCCAGACTGAGATATCAACTAGTGTCAGAACATTCATGAGGAAATTGGTTCTATGACCCTAACTTAGAATTTCAAGAATTTCTGTGATGACTGAATCTTCTCTGAAGATCATCTTATCAAAAGCAGCTAATAGCAGCGCTTGCTGTAAAAACTCAGTATTACCATTTCTCATGCAATGGATGAAGAGTTCTTTGTCTAAGAAATGAGAATAGTATCCCATATATTCAACTGCCAACTCATCTTCATGGTGAATAAGCAGAGCTTTTAGAATGTTATCAAGAGAGATGATTTTCCACTCAAGCACTTTTCTAAAGTCATCTCTGTATAGAGCTACTTATTCTGCTCTAGGGCCTAGATCCTTCTCTACAAATCTGTTCTTCTTGATGAGATCAAATAGCTGTTCGTAATGAATAAACATTGCATCATTTTTATTTCTAATGCCAATATAGTTCTTATCGAAGGCCCAAGTGAACTGAAGGAATTCATAGTTGTTCTAGGTAATGGCTCTGATTATCATCTCCTCTTCGAGAACGACTTCATAATAAGCTATGATGATACATGCCAGCTTCTCCTCTTCCTTTTGAAGTGAGATTTTAAGCACGTTGGTCATTAGATTGTGGAATTTAGCTCTAAAGCTGGTCTTTACTCTTAAGAGCTCAGCCTAGTCCTTTAGCTAGGTGCGGTTAATTGTTTCCTCATCGATACCGATAGCAGCCAGAGTCTCCGCACTTTGCTTCTCCTCTTCTAGCTTTCTTTGCTCTTCTTTCATTTGCTGTGCTTTTTTCAAAGCTGCTGCAAGTTCGGAGTGACCATATGCTGGTGGTTTGAGAGTAAGAGTAGGCTCGTCATCTTCTTTCTTGTCTTCGTCCATCATTTCATCATCTGATTCTCCTCCTTCAAGCTGCAAATGATTCTAATCGTCTTTTTCTTTTTCTTCCTCAGTGAGGTTTTAACTTTCTTACTCCCCAGACTGATTATCGTCTTGAGGGCCATCATCATTCCAGTTGTTACCCTCGCTCTCCTCTTCTGATTCTTCGTTTTCAAGCACTATCAAATAATTAAAATCCCAATATATTTTGAATGTTATAAACGTTAAAAAATCTTAAATCTAAAAAATTACCTTATTTTTGAATCAGAGCGCAGGCAACTAACTGCTTGAGCAGAAACTCTCTATCTATGAGTTATTTTGACATTTCGAGATTTTCAATGTGAATTGAAAACCAGAATGCTAGGGTTAAGTCATGTTCATATTTTTTCTAGTCGCCCTCAGACTTGATCTAGTCAAGTTCTCCGAGGACCTTTTGGATATCCTTTGAGAATACTCCCTTCATTAGCTGAGATTTCAAATCACTCTCTCTCAACCTAAATACTGAATGTTAAGTATTTATCAATCGTAGGTTATAATAAAATATAGATCAATGCAATTATAGCTCAATGATTATACGCATTAAAGATCGATAATTTTAATAGGATTTAAAACTTACATGGCCTCAACTTTTCTTTGCGAAGTTAGGGTCTTTAAAATAGGGTGCTCATCTAAGTTAATACCCTTTTTCTTTTCTGAGGCGTTAGCCTGGCCGACCTTGCCTCTAATTTTCGATAAAATTGCTCCCATCTTTCTGAATTAATTAATATTCTTCTTATAATCTAAACCTCTTCAACTTTAACTAAATAAATAAATCAATTTATTTCGAAATGCTATACTCTTGTTGTTATTGCTTTAAGGGGTTTTGGGGTTTTGGGGTTTTGGGG